TCAAATGTCGTCTTGACAATTTTTCAATGTTTTTTTACCAGTGATAAAGATTAAGAATTAAACTAATGAAATATAGGGTAAATTAAATATATAACGAAAATGCAAATTTTTTCAGTTTTAAATATCAAAATAAAAAATAAATAAAATTGTGAAATTAATTTTATCATTTGCGACAATTGTAAAAGAATAAAAAAATATTTTAACTATTGAGGAATACAAAAACAAAAACAAAAAATCACAATATAAATAGATGTAAAAAAGAATCAAATTACAATTTTTTTTGATAATTTTCTTCATTGTTCTTAAAATATTTCATAATTTTTAATAAACTAAAGTGACAGCAAGCGTAATTTCAAGTGACCCTCCATCATCCATGCCAAGATTGTTATGCCTGATTCGGTTCCATTCAGAGCTTTGTCTGAGCAATAATATTTAAGATATTGATGTTTTTATAGTTCATCTATGTTGCCCTTCAGTGTAGAGATATCACTTTTAAAAATAATCAGGTTTCAAAATTATTAATATTAAAATCTAATTCATACTTGATCAGACGAAGTATTCAAGAGTAGCGTTGTAACTCAGGCATTGACATCTTTGCATGAAGGATCACTTGATATCACGCTTATTCTCTATTTCATAATTCTAAATTTTTACATAATTATCCATTTTACATTTAGAAATCGAAAAGAATAATTTCTTATTAATCTTTGAAAAAAACTTGTTTATAAGTGTAACACAACTATCCTCGTCAATTTGGAATGTATCCAATACCTATTAATATGTCATTCATTGAGTCCCAAAATGCATGATGTACAACTACTTCAGTAGGTCGTATCGTACATTTTTATTGGACATACCGTGGTCGGCGATTATATTATTACAATGAAGACGATTTTTTATAGTTTTGATTGTTAACAAGATTTCTTTCGAATTACAAGTTTACAAGTTCTTTTTGTTTCTATGTTCATGTGTATCCAGGCTGTTTAAAAGCTTAAGAGAAATCCAAATTGAAATCGAGTTGACTTTCTTGTATTAGTAAATGCGATGACGACTACTGTAGGATTTTTTTTAAATTTTTAAGTTCGAACAAATAATCTATTTTTCGATATTCATAATAATTTTTAAGGGAAAGTTAAATTTTTTTTGGAAGAGAGATAAGGTAAGTTTAAAAGATGTTACTAGTCAAGTAAATTGTATAAAAGCTTAGGAGAAATCAAAATTGAAATCGAGTTGACTTTCTTGTATTAGTAAATGCGATGACGACTACTGTAGGATTTTTTTTAAATTCAAGTTCGAACAAATAATCTATTTTTTCGATGTTCATAATAATTTTTAAGGGAAAGTTAAATTTGTTTGGAAGAGAGATAAGGTAAGTTTAAAAGATGTTACTAGTCAAGTAAATTAGATAGACTAATTAAGATACAAAACGACATTAAGAGTTAATTCTCAAAAAGTATCAAAGAATAAATTACAATCAGTTTTATCAGTTATCAAAATTACAAAAATGCATTCACGGTATGGAAAGGTTTTAATTAATTCCTATCTTCTCATTAGTCAACAGCTCATAGGTTAAACCAATAGTAGATGAGCGAAATGAGTTTAACTCAGTGAAGCCGATTGAAATTAGTTCCGTTAAATTACAAGTTACCAGCTCAGAATATTTTTAAATCGTCTACATTTTTGACAAAAAAAAAGATTTTACAAAAGTAAGTACTTCAGTGTTAACCTACAGTTTCTTTGGCATATTAATTATTTATTTTTATGTTGTTATGTCATGATCTGTTTAAGCTGTGCTCTATACAACTGTACAATTTACAACCGTACAGTTTACTGAATATCTATGTACAACGTCTAGATTATTATCAAGTTTGTGAGCTTCAAGGCTAATTCACCAGGGTGCCGAGTATTAAATTTCCTAATGCTTTAAAAAAGTGTATTGCAGTCTGCTTTTTGTGAAAAAAGTTTTGGCGAATTTCTGATCGAAACATTTAAATTCCCATACATTTTGGAATTCCTAAAGTTAACACTGGCGCACCAAAAAAAGATGCAAAAATGTTGAAGTTTAAAAAATAACATAAAATGTCATTATTTGTTGTAAATTTTTTTCTAGAAAAATATCACAATAGGATAAAATTTTCTCCAGTTAGGTTGGGTCAAGTTTTTTTCTTCTCCAGTTCAATTCAAGTTTCATAATTCTTCAGATTTAAATCCTTTTCTATTTCATGCAGGGTGTCACAAAATATTCAGTTTTAAATCCTTTTCTATTTCGTGTAGGGTGCCACGAAATATTCAGGTGTATATCCTTTTCTATTCCGTGTAGGGTGCCACGAAATATTCAGGTGTATATCCTTATCTATTTCGTGTAGGGTGCCACGAAATATTCAGTTTTGAATCCTTTTCTATTCCGTGTAGGGTGCCACGAAATATAGATGTGTATATCCTTTCTATTCCGTGTAGGGTGCCACGAAACCCTTAGGTATATATCCTATTCTATTCCTTTTCACAGCTTTCCACCACCCTTGAGAGCTCTCCTGGGTAAATTCATAATATCAAAATAAATAAATAATTTGAATATATTGTACAGTGAGACACATAAAATTGTGGAATAGGCAATTGTATGTGTATTTGATGGAATCGAAGGAATTTATGAAATGTCTTGACAATTTTACAATGTTTTTTTACTTTTATACCTAATTCTCAGTAACTGTAAAAATAAACAAAAAGCACTGAATTATGCAGGAACAGTTTTAAAGGGCTTCGTATAATTATTCAATTAAAAACTAAATATCTGCAGCATTACATTCTCAATATAGGTCAAGAAAAGACATTTTAATTATTCTTTCGATGTCTCCAAAATTCTGGATTAACTGTATAAAAAAATTGGTCTGTGTTTACTGCACAACTGCTCCGATTCTTGTTCATTGGACTTTTTAAGATCAAAACTTGAATTTAACAGTAGTCTTCCTATTTCACAGTTTTATAGTTCCCAATGTAGGTTAAAAAATAAATATCTAATAAGAAGAAAAAGTGACAACTTATTGAATTAAGGACAAATATAAAAAAACACAAAAGAAAAAATACCAACATATTTTAGAGTAATAAATGAAAATATAAATTAAAATATAGAAAAACATCGAAGCAATATTAACAACAAATTTTTGTGAAATGAATGAAAAAAATTAATTTAACTATAAAAAGCACAAAAGCAATAAAAAAGAGTAATTAATAAAAATTAAGAAAAACAGAAAAACAAAAAAGATGTTTTTTTGAGGAATTAATGAAAAAATGAATTATCCCTGTTTGTCAACAACTGCTATGATATCACCAGTTCTAAAAATAAACAAAATAAAAATTTG